GAGTACCTTCATTCTTGGACCACGTATTTCTGTCTTTGTTAGACAAATATTACCATAACAGTTATGAACAGAATCTGTGACAAAGGGCAGCCTTAGCGGAGTCTAACTCTCACCGGAAACGAGCCCGACTTACTGCCGGCAATGCGGACCAGACTCTGACACCGGTCGTACAAGGACCTGACAGCCCGTATCAAGTGGCCCGGTACCCCATACTCCCGGAGAACCCCCCACAAGGCCCCCCTTGGGACACGGTCGAACGCCTTCTCCAAGTCCACAAAACACATGTAGACAGCTTGGGCGAACTCCCATGCACCCTCCAGGACCCTGCTGAGGGTGTAGAGCTGGTCCATTCTCAGGGCCTCTCTTTATAATTAAAAGTAACACTGTTAAATCAAAGTTAAAGGATAACATGAGCCGTTCTGTTCACCTTGGGCAGTCATGAAGTCAGCAAAGTTCCAGATGAGTTCTCCAACAACGTACTGCTTCCTTTTCTGGTCAAAGACRTTGTGGTAAATTTGGAGGACTAGCTTCTGGTACTCCTCAGTGAACATCATGGGTGGATCCTGCAGAGGAAAAAAAATGAAACTGGTTATATGAAGTGATAAACGCAGAACCATGTGATGTAGTCAGAGGTCAGGAGACTGCAGGAGTAAGACCCTAAAGTGCTCACACTGTGAACCCCTGGCACTGCATCGGCTCCATATTCACTCTGGATGATKGGTTTCTGGTACTTTCCATGCCAGTTGTCAAACTGAGAGTTGAGCTGGATRGAGATGACCTCCAGGTGACCAGGATCGTGGTACCAGGAGAAGTAACTGTTGACGCAGATCACATCCACAAATGGAGCCTAGAAACAAGACAAACAAATCATTTTCTGAATAAACACAAACGTGRCTCATTTTTTGTTTGTTGTAAATGCCACAGGGGTTTTACAGATTTTTATTCACTGTTATGTCAATTCTTGGTGACACTAATGTTGTCCAACATTAAATAATGTGAATTACCTCTCTAAAAATTTTAGTAAGTATTTTTTTTTGTCTTCGCAATAACAGCCTGTGCAATAAGCACAATCGCCAAAAACTATAAAATGCAATAAACGGTTGGTTCAGATGTTTATGTTTGTGTATTTTGTCAATCACATGGAGGCTTTTAGTATTTGACCAATCAAATTGAGCTCTTCATGTWMTTGGCCAATCRGATGGATCTCTTATATTAKAAGACCGCCCCCTACGTAAATGTGGTGGAGAGCAAACTTAGAGAAAATCCCAACGGCTGCGAGCAAGACAGGTTTGGAGATATGATCAGTTGTCATTTATCATTAAAGCCTCGTGGCCAGTTCGTCATTACAACACAAACGGTTTTTGGTTGTGCTAGCCTTTTCTTCATTCTTTCTAAACTACCGTATAAACATGGCAGCTTCAACCGGTGTCGACCCGTGCCCATGTAGTTAGAAACAGCTTTTTCTAAAGCAAGAAGAACGAAACGACTTCTTGGTTTTTAATGATTTTTAAACATTTTTATTAGTGATTATTTTAAATTCTGCTAAAAKATACACCTAAATGTTACACTCTAGTATTTGTTMATTTATCACAAGTCATATCGTCTTCACAATATCACAGGTTGTCCTGATATCCTGCAGCCCTACAGCTAAGTGGTGCTTTGGTTTATTTTTATGTCAGTTCTTTATAAAGCTAAGGTTGCAGAAGAATAGGCGTTTGGTTTATTAACTACATTCTGAGATGTTTAGCTCACAGACGTTATGGCAGAAGAACAATAAACTTACTCTTTGTGGTGACTGATAAGGCTCTGCAGGATATTGTGACATGTTGAATTTTGCCCTCTTCTAAGCAAACATGATCCATTTTGCTTCACTTAAACTCATCTAACCTTTTTCCCAGCAGGCTCTTCTGCCATTCCCTGGAAAAACTAAGGAAAACTTTACTTCTTAGTATGAAACATGCTTTTTAAACAGACAATCCTAGKTGGCAGCTAATGTAGCTTTCCAGTTTTTTGTATTTAGAATAATGGTTATAATATGGTTAAGTGTTTTTTTAACACACCAGTTTATTAACAAGAAAGCAGCAGCTAACAGATGCATACACCCTCTCTAACGATCTGTTATTTAGCATCAAACCACAAAGATACAGGGTTTAATGCCCCTTTGTGTTTTGACTGAATGTGGGATTTTAAAGCTGCAAATGCAGCAAACTGAGATACGGAGATGAGGACTATGAAGAGACTCACTCCTTTGTCCCTGGCGTAGTTACTGTCCGAGACGAAGGTGACAGGCCGTGTAGGGTCCAGGCTTTTGGTGTGTTTTATCAATGTTCTGCAAGGAAAACAAACTGCAGATGAGAATACTGTAGGTGGTGAAACAGACGGTTAATCCATATATCAAGTACTGAATTTAAGAATCAATTTCTTCTTGAATTTAGTTCATTCATTAAGTCACAAATGCAACAACAGCTTTCCTTGTCAATTCTTTAGGTTACAGTTTAAGAGCTCTCCTGCTTACTTGTGTAATAAGATTTGATGAGGCCATTTATTCAGCTCTTCAGACCTCCACATGAGAACACAACTCATTAGTACTCACTTGAAGTAAAGTTCAGCAGGCGGCATCTCTGCGGCGGGCTCATTGGCTACGGACCACATCACAACAGAGGGGTGGTTCTTGTCCCGGCGTATGAGCTCGTCCATGACAGTCAGATGATGGGCCAAAGAGGCATTTCCAAAACTGCGACTGTGATCGCAAATCACAAAATGAACATTTTAAAGTCGGGACATTTAAATGAAAATACAACTTGACAGCCACCAACAGTTTTAAAAGCTAAGTTTTTGAGACTGGAGTTGTTTTAAGGCAGCAGTTTGGTAACGCTCTCGTTTGGACTAAGAAGAGCAGGTTATTCCAGTCAGAATTAAACTGTTTCCTCAAACTGAGGTAGTATAATCAGCTATCTGCAACAAGATTATTTGTTCATAAACTTTTTACAAAACCCACTTCGTAAGATCTGATCATTTTGAAATTTCTGGAGGAAACTATTTACCTCAAACACACACTTTAATTAATTAGATCTTTATCTCATGTCACTGACATTCAATGACCACCTTTAGTAAAAATCCATAGAAGCTAAATGCCATGGAAACAAATTGGAGACTTTTTTTGTTTTGAATATTGGAAAATAAATCCAGATTTTCACCTTCTTAAGAAACATGTCGTTCTCTTTTGGTCACTGTGGGTCTTTAGCAACCGTTCAGTACTTTTCAAATGTTACTGTGCACATGGCCTTGAAAGTTGTTTTAGGTCACATGATTCCAAAACATAAACACAGTCATGTTTGCATTTCTGTGGGCTTAAACTAAAGTGAAAAAAGATGCTAAAATGCTAACATGCTAACGTTTGAAAGGCGCAGACAAGCCACTTAAACAAAGTTAGAAGGTTATTACATGTTTTTATCTCTTAACTTGTTTTTAGAATCTGCTGCTTTGGCTCAGCGTGTGGTGCGACTCGTCCAAAACAACACAAAGTTAAACAATCAGGTTTTCAGAAGCAACTTGAGCTACGTTTACATGGACATAAGTAATGGGATTAAACGGCCATTTGGAATAAAAATGCGTCTTTTAAACACCCCATTCGGATTATTCTGACCCGATTCAGCTCGATCCGAATGAATTTGTAATCTGATTGAGAGAGGTGGTTTATGCTTATTGATAATCCGAACAGCGTGCATGTAAACACTCATAATGATCGGATTGTGCACATGTAAACAACACATTCTGATTATTTAATCTGAAAACAGTTCAATCTGATCAAAGAATTTTGCGCATGTAAACATAGCTACTGTTAACACTTACATGTCTTTGATTCCCACTCCCGGACATTCATCAATCACCACGATGCCGTGGCGGTCACACATCTGCAGGATCTCCTCAGCATAGGGGTAGTGACTGGTGCGGAAAGAGTTGGCCCCCAGCCACTTCAGTAAGTTAAAGTCCTTCACAATCAGGGGCCAGTCCAAACCTTTACCTCGAAACTTCAACATAGTGGAAGAAACAAAAGATTAGGTTTTTGAAGCAAGTAAAAAAGTTGCCGATCATATGTTGTAACTGAAACAGACACTTATGGTGCGTTCACACCGAACGCGATTTCAGCATCAGCAGCATCAGGTTTACATGCAAAGTCTATGGTGGACGCGCTTCAAGCAGCGTCGGGAAGTGCTGCGGCGCCTCAAGCACGATTAGAGCAGCGCGATTTGAACGATCTGAGCGTTCGACGCGCTGAGGCGCAAATCGCTGAAGTTAGAAAATCTGAACTTTTGCAGCTCGACGCGCCGCGTCAACCAATCAGAGAGACTCCACTGTGTGACGTAGCGACTTATTTCCTGACGGGACAGTTTACTGAATGATGTCCACTAACCTGAAACAGATGGCGAGGAGCTCTTTAGCTGAAATCGAGTGCCTGCAGTCGGTGTCCTGACAGAGATATCTGCACCAATGCGTGGCAGCGGCTCATCAGACTGGAAAAATAGTCCTGAAAGCGAGCTGTGAGCCTCTACTCTGAATTATCTGGTGAATTAATTATGAATTAATTATCTGATGAACGTGACATGCTCTTGCTCTCTGTAAATAAAGCAAAGCCACTTCCTCGTCCGACATTAAACAGAGCCCGACAGAGGAGGGAGGGGCGGGGAGGCTGTTGCCGTGCAGCGCTTCAAGAGCTGACCTGCGTCTGACCTCAAAGTGCACGAGCGACCAACTTCAGCGTTGGCTGCGATTTTGAAGCTGAAATCGCGTTCGGTGTGAATGCAGCATTAGAATCTATGCTAAAAGAGGTCCGAGACCTTTGGCTTCGGCCTGGTGGTACTCACATCAGAGTCCTCGTGCTTGTTGACCCCATGGAAATAAAACGGCTTGTTGTTGATGAGAAACTGGGTGCTGGTCACCTTCACAGTGCGGATGCCGACTGGTAGAGTATAAACATCTTCAGATGAAGATCCCCCAACAGCTGTGAGACGAACCTACACGTTAGAAGGCAGAACCGGAGACAGCCATCATTCCCTGATAATACAATCCAAAAGCACATTATCTAAATACTAACATGAAGAGTATACTAAATAAAAGGAAACTTAGAACTCAACTTCCAACAGTGACTGAATTTTATCAAGTAACATCACCTTAGTTTTGTTGCCACATTTGTCACATTACCAACACAAGACACCCGACCCCACATGTTGTCCTACCTCCATAGAGTATAGATAACCTGGATTCTCATGCATCAAATATGGCCACCACAGATTAACATCTGTCACTTTCAGCACTCCAGATGGTGTATTGGAGGAAACCACACATTGGCCCTTTTTGTCTATCAAAGTGACCTTCAAAGTGGCTGAGGATGCACCTTGGACCGACACGTTGTATCTGACAAATCCTAAAATACAAAAACAAACAGCTTAAATAAATGGGACAATAATAAGATGATATTATATAGGTAATGGTCACTTCAGTTTAAACTGAAAACAATTGTTTTTTAGCCTCATCGTGGATCAAAATACAGTGATCATTGGTGTGTAGATCTGTGATTACAGAATAGTCTTATTTTTACCTGTGTTATCAAAGAAGTCAGTAACCACCGTAATGTCATCCACATATGTTTTAGGAGTGGTATATAGCAGCACAGGACGGTGTATCCCAGCATAGTTGAAGAAATCAAAGTTGGTGTTTTGCACAAAAAACCCATCAGGATACCTGTAAACCAAATCAATCCTCAGTCATTACATCCGAACAGATTCATCTGCGAAAGTTTAAACCAAAGCAACCGCACTCACAGAAACTGAAGAGTCAGCAGAAACAGAAGAGTCAACAGAACGTGAAGCAAGAAGCGCTGATGTTGAAATATTGTTTCGATGGTGTCCTAAGAGCTGACAGAAGCTAAAAAATTATAGGTCACTGCTGACAGATATTCAAAAAGTAAAAGTACTTTCAATATTAAGCCTGTTTTATAGTCAAAGAGATTAAAGACATGAGCTCTCATGGGTTGCAGCCGACGTGGGCTGTTCGTGTCGGCTGGATAAATGGCTGTAAAATGAGACGCTCTACAGAAGATGCTAGTTCACGTGACCATGCTCTGCCTCGTTACCATGTTGATAAATAAAGTAAATAAATAAAATCCATTAATAATTTGGGTTTAGCTCCAGTATCAGTACTTGTAATTGCATTTTATTTAACATCTCATTGCAACAATGGTTTCTTCAGACAAGTTCTTTAACTTACATTTTTCGGTCCGTGTTAAATTTCCAAACTCAGTCATTCAAAAAAATAAATAAATAAAAAAATCTGCCGTAAAATAAAAAGAAAACCTTCACCGTCTTTGTTTTTCTGTTTAATTTGGTTAAATGAATTCTAGGATACTGTCGGCTGCGTAGGATACCGGCGCAGACAAATTGGGACACAGCCTACGGCGCGGGGCAGTCAGTTATGCTAACGTTAGCTAAAGCTTTAAGTGCCATCACATTAACTCATTGAATTACAGTAATAATCCATCTTGTCTCGTCTTCTCACAGTTTTTAATTGGTTTGAAGTCTTTTAACAAATTTACAAAATAGCCGTCAGTTCAAGAACATGAATTAAAAGCAGTTAATTTTTAGTTATACAGTATTTGAGTGGATGTACAGTGAAAGAAAAGTCTCGTGCAAATCAAATCAGATTAAAGAGGCTAGGAAGTGAGTTGTGTGTAAAAAAACAACAACAAAAATATTAATTACATGGTGCGGTCGTTCATGTACTGGATGCTGCCTGGAGGAAGAGTGTTTAGAGTCAGAGTGTTGTTGACAGCGATGGTGATCCTGCACGGCGTGGTGGGCTTTTCATGCAGCACGCCATTTATCTCAGCCTCAAAAGGAAGATGACCTCCTTCATGTTCTGCCACTTTCACACCGTTCACCCACTGGTGGATATAAAGAAATCAAATCTCAACAACACAATGTTTCATAGTTTTACAGTCTTGAATGGCACAGGAAGATGACATCATCATACTCACCACTATTGAATAATAATGAGCACTTCCCACTCTGAGAACCACTCGTGTGCCTTCGTCTGTGATCCAGTGGGCCGGTGCCACCACCTCTCGCTCGTACCACACCCAGCCAACAAAGTCTCTCAGCGTGGAGTCCTGTGTGATGTCGTTGTAACTGGCAGGAACTGGCATGTCGATCACAGGACCGGTCTGCAGAGCGTCAATGACAAGAGAGCATTTTATTTCTGTGGAATGAGTTTTTCATAAAAGTACAATTTCACAGTTCTGCTTTGATTTATTATATTATATTATATTATATTATAT